TCCAGTCAGAAAAACAACCGTTCACCACCACTCTCTGCTCTCTGTCTCTCAGACAGTTCTGTATCCGCTGACACTGTCCCTTTAATACCGGGGCTTCTATTTTGCTACAAGTCTCTTATGTGGTATTTTATCAAAAGCCTTTTGAAAATCCATATAAACGACATCAACTGCACTACTTTCATCCACTCTCTCCGTTACTTCATCAAAAAACTCTATCAGGTTTGTTAGACTTGATTTACCTTTAACAAATCCATGTTGACTGTCCTTTATTAACCCATATTTTTCTGAGTGAAAATTTATTTTGTCCTGAATTATAGTCTCTAGATGTTTCCCCACTACTGGCGTTAGGCCGACTGGCCTGTAGTTCCCGGGTTTATCCTTCTGCCCCTTTTTGTACAGTGGAGTAACATTTCCAACTACCGTGGTGTCCAAGGAGGATTGAAAGACTGTGGCCGGAGGCTCCGTTATTTCCACCTTTACTTCCCTCGGTAACCTAGGATGCTTCCGTCCAACAGGGTGACTTATCTACCTTGAGCACTGACAGTCTTTTTAGTACCTCCTCTCAGTTTATTCTTATCTAATCCAATTTCTCTCCCCTCTCCTCCAATACTGTGGCATTAGCTGCATCCTCTTGTTTTGTGAAGACAGCTGCAAAGTCCTCATTCAGTACATCAGCCACTCCCTCTGCCTCCACAAGAAGATTTCCTCTTTGGTCCCTAATTTGACATTTATCACAAACCTCTTTTTTCTGTTTTATTTTCATCCCAATTTCCTTACTCATCCAGGGAGGTTTGGTTGCCCTCCCCTTTGTGGGAATGTATTTGTTCTGTCCCCGAACTATCTCCTGCTTGAAGGTTTTCCATTGCTCGTTAGCTATTTTATCTGCCAATCTTTCTTTCCAGTCCACCTTGGCTAGGTCCCTTTTTAACTCACTAAAATTAGCCTCTTCTGGTTGAGAATCTTCACCTTTGATTGTTCCTTGTCCCTTTCCATAAGTACTCTAAACCTAATGAACCCTGTTGTCCAGATGCTCTCCTATTGAAACCTCCTCCACTTGCCCCACTCCATTCACCAGAACTAGACCCAGCACTCCTTCCTTGCCTCGCCAGTACCTGGACGAGGGACAACTTTCTCCAACTCAACATCAGCAAGATCGAGGCCCTCCTGATTGGCTCGCGCCAGCGCCTCCGCACCTCGGGCGCTGGCAGCATCAGCCTCCATGCTGCACACTCAACCTCACTAAGCCAGTCAGGGACCTGGGGATCTTGATAATAATAATAATATAATAATCCTTGCATTTGATATAGCGCTTTTCACGTCGGGAGGACGTCCCAAAGCGCTTCACAGAACACACTGTAAAGTGAATTGACTGTATATTTGTGGGCGAACGCGGCAGCTAATTGCGCACAGCAATGTCCCACAAACAGTCGTAGATTGAAAATGACCAATTTATTATTGTTTTTGGTTTTGGAGGGATTATTATTAGGCTCTGTGTGGAGTAAGGAAACTTGCCCAAGGTTTCGCCCTCTGCCTGGAATTGAACTCAGGTCTCTCACTTGCAAAGCGAGTGCTCTAACCACTGAGCTACAGGACCCTGAACTGTCCTTTCTCCCCCACATCTGCACCATGACTGGCACTGCCTTCCACCAGCTCCGCAGCATTGCCAGACTCCGCCACTGCCTCACCCCTCAGGCCCCCAAACCCTCACCCACACATTCATCACATCAAGGCTCAATTATGGAAATTCCCTCCTTATCGGCCTTCCCAACTCTTCCCTTCACAAGCTGAAGATCATCCAAAACTCTGCAGCTCATCTCCTCTTGCGCACCAGGCTCCATGACCCCATCACCCCCACTCAACCGACTACACTGGCTCCCCATCCACCAGGGGATCAAGTTCAAGATCCTCGTCCTCACCTTTAAGGCCATCCATGGCCTTGCCCCCTCCTACCTCTCTGACCTGCTGCCTCTCTACCAACCTGCCCGCTCCCTCCGCTCATCAGGCTCCAGCCTGCTCCATGTCTCCCGCCCGACCCGCCCTACCATTGGTGGCCGGGCTTTTAGCCTCTCTGTCTCTACACTCTGGAATTCCATCCCACGGTCCTTTTGCCTCGCTTCTTCCCTTGCCTCCTTCAAGGCCGGTCTCAAGACCCTCCTCTTGGATCATGCCTTTGGTTACTCTCACACCTCTCTGCCTTCCCTCACCAATAATAATAAATTGGTCATTTTCAATCTACGACTGTTTGTGGGACATTGCTGTGCGCAATTGGCTGCCGCGTTCGCCCACAAATATACAGTCAATTCACTTTACAGTGTGTTCTGTGAAGCGCTTTGGGACGTCCTCCCGACGTGAAAAGCGCTATATCAAATGCAAGGATTATTATTATTATATAAATCCAAGTTGTTTTTGTTTGATTAACTGTATGTTTTGTGGGCAAAATGCAGCAGCCAATTGCACACAATAGTGAACAACACAGTCGTGGATTAAGTAACCAAATGATTATTGATTTTTTTTAAGAGGCTATACCAAATTTATTATTTCTATTCTATGGAGTATCTTGTTTATCTGTAACAAACTCCTCTCCCATTACTCTTCGCTCCAACTCCTCCCTCCTCCTCTCCCCTCACTCAAAAAACCTTCCCTGGATCCCTCAAACCCCAGCCACTACCGCCCTATTTCTAACCGGCCCTTCCTCACAAAAGTCCTAGAATGCGTCGTTGTCAACCAACTCCGCGCACACCTCTCCTCTCACTCCCTCTTCAAACCCCTCCAGTCCGGTTTCCGCCCACAGTAGAGACTGCACTTGTGAAAGTCACACACGACATCCGCTCTATCTGTAACCAGCGCTCCCTCTGCCTCCTTGTCCTCCTGGACCTCTCCGCGGCGTTTGACACAGTCGATCACACCATCCTCCTCCACCGCCTTTCCTCCATTATCCACCTCAGTGGGACCGCACTCGCCCGGTTCGAGTCCTATCTCACAAACCACCAGCAGTACATCTGCACAAACGGCTTCTCCTCCCGCTCTCACCGGGTTACCTGCGGGTACCCCAAGGATCCATCCTTGGCCCCCTCCTCTTTCTGATCTATCCCCTCTTGGGGATGTCATCCGCAGACATGGGGTACATTTCCACATGTACGTGGACGACACGCAACTCTATTTTCCACCTCTCTGTGTGACCCCCCCAGTCCCCTGATGTTCTGTTCTGCTTGTCAGATCTCAGGGGCTGGATGAGCGCAAATTTCCTTCAGCTAAATGTTGACAACACGGAAGCCATATTCTTTGGCTCTCGTCAACATCTAAAATCACATAGTTCTCACCTCCTCCACCTACCCAAAGTCTCCCTGGAACTCTTCAAACCCGAACACAACCCAGGCGTCAGGTTCGACCCCCAATTATCCTTCCTCCCCGACATCTTGTCCCTCACCAGCACCGCTTTCTTCCACCTCTGACGCATCGCCCGTCTCCGCCAATACCTCTCTCCGAAATCCACTGAAACCCTGGTCCATGCCTTTGCCACCTCTCGGCTGGACTATTCAAATGCCCTCCTCGCTGGTCTCCCCTCCACTACCATTCATAAAATCCAGGTCATAAAAAATTCTGCTACCCGTACCAAACGCCGCTCCCCAATTACCCCAGTCCTTGCCAGACTGCACTGGTTGCCTGTCCCATAGAGGATCGACTTTAAGATCCTAACCCTGCCTTCCACCATCCTGGTAGTAGCGTGTGCATGTTGTGTCCCAAACTATATAGCGTATCCTGAAATATTATTTCCTAACAGAAATCTATCTAATTTGTTCCCTGGGGAGTTTGTTCCATACATTTACTACTCTTATTCCCCTGAATCATTTTGGTTGCCCTCCTCTGTATCCTCTCAATTACTACACTATCCTTTTTATATTGCAGTGACCAGAACTGCACACAGTGTCCCCTCAGGCGCTGACAGCATTGCCATCCATGGATGCACACTCCACCTCACTGAGCCAGTCTGGAACTTTGGCATCTTGTTTGACCCTCAACTATTGTTTCTACCTCACATCAGCGCCATGACCCGTTGTGCCTTTCCCCACCTTAGCAACGTTGTCCAGGCTCTGCCACTGTCTCACACTGTAGGCCACCTAATCCCTCATACACACCTTCATTACATCCAGGCTTGACTATGCACTCCCTGTGTGTCGGCCTCCAACTCCTCCCTCCTCCTTTCCCCTCACTCTCCTCTCCCCTCACTCTCCTCTCCCCTGACTCTCAAGTCGTGGATTGAGTTACCAAATTATTTTTTTTTGAAGGGATTATTATTGCCGGAAAAGTGATCTGCGAATCAACTAAAAACTGAGTTCCTACTTACTGCTAGGTAAACAGACTCATGTGGAGTAAGGAAACTTGCCCAACGTTTCACCCTATCTAAGAAACTATAAGACTCCATGATATATAATACCTTGCAGTATATATCAACCCTTAGGTCCTCTGGCACCACCCCGGTATCCAAGGAGGATTGAAAGATTGTGGCCACAGCCTCTGTCATTGCCACCCTTACTTCCATCAGTAACCCAGGATGTATCCCTTTTTAATTCACTGAAATTAACTCGACTTCAGTCAGTTAAAAAAAATGACCTAGCCAAGGTGGACTAGAAAGAAAATTGGCAGGTAAAAACAGCTAACAAGCAATGGAATGTCTTCAAGGAGATAGTTCGGGGGCAAAACAAATACATTCCCACAAAACCACAGTCTCACAAGATTAATGCTCTCAGGATTTCATACTCGCTCTCCTCTCCCTCCACTCTCTTCTCTACTCATTCCCCTCATTCTCCTCTCCCCCTTCTCTCAATGCCTGCTTTTCGGATGTTGGTGCGTGCAAATTGATTGCCGCATTTGCCTACAAAGTACACGGTCACTACATTTACAGCAGCTTTCTGGAGTGATTTGAGTGTTGTTGGCATTAAGAGAATTATCCCAATGCTCTATAAATATGATGTGTACCATTTGTTGTGCTTGAATTGCAGATGGCGAGTGCTGTCAGGATGGGGCCTGGAGCTTCGTGTGTGAGCAGGATGTTACTGTGGAGTGTGCTCCTTTTCTGCTTTTCATTTCATTTCAAGACAGAAATGGGTAATTGTCATTTGAAACTTTTTACATACATTTTGCACAGACCGTACAGCACAATCCAACCTCTAGTCCCAACCAGTTCACACAAGCCCCCACATGCTGGTTACTCCCTCTCGCAACCTTCTACTCCCCTCTCCCTCATCTGAAGGTCTAGCTTCCTCTTAAATGCATCTGCACTATCTGATTCAACTACCACTTCAGACAGCAAGTTGCACAATCTCATATAGTCTGCATGAACTAGTTCCTCCTAAATTCTCTTTCAGATTCTCTTGTCATCTAATCAATACTGCTACCCCACTTCCTCTTTCCCCTCTATGTCCTTTAAAAATAATAAAAAGAATAATCCTTGCCTTATCATGTCTTCAAGCCGTCTCAAAACGCTTCACAAAATCTACTGGGAATTGAATTGACTGTAGATTTTGGGTGTAAAACGCAGCAACCAATTGCGCATAGCAGTGTCTCACAAACAGTTGTGGATTGAGTTACCAAATTATTACTGTTTTTTTGAAGGGATTATTATTGCCAGAAAAGTGATTCGCGAATCAACTAAAAACTGGGTTCCTACTTACTGCTGGGTAGACAGACGTGTGTGGAGTAAGGAAACGTTTCTAACTTTTCACCCTGCCTGAGAATCGAACCTAGGTCGTCTCACTTACAAGATGAATGCTCTAACCATTGAGCTATAGGACTCCAGAGTATATAGTACTCTGCAGTATTTAGTTGCCAATCATGTCCAGGTTGTAACCATGTTTCTGTTGATGTAATTTCATCCAATTCCTCTGTTGATTATGGCCTGCAGTTTCCAGGTTGTTCCCTTTGCTTTGTGCATTGCATTACAGCCATGAAACACATTGCTATTGTTACTGTCTTGCTAAGTTTCGCTAACACCTCCTGCTTTTCATTTTTATTATTCTCTTCATGTTTAAATTCTGCTGCCTTGTTCAGGTGTGGTCCGTCCATTTAATACAGTTAATGCCTGCCACAGGAAAGTCCTAAAATCTAAACCTTCCCTCCTGCACCATCTCTCCAGCATGCCATGTCTTCCTGATTTCACTATTACCTTCCCCAACATCTCCACTTCATCTCTGCCAACGGCTTCTCCTCCTGCCCTCATATTGTTATGTGCAGCATTCCTCAGGGCTCAGTCCTCTCCTCTTTAATATCGATGTGTTCCCGCTCGATGATGTCATCTGCAGGTATAACATCCACATGTATGTGAATGCTGGTAACACCCAATTCTATCTCTCTGCCTCCACCCTCGACCCCAGCATCACTGGTTGTCCTCATTGGTTGCTTGTCAAGTTCTGATTGACAGCTGTCTTTCTCCAGTTGAAGATTGGCAAGAATGAAACACTTCTGTTTGGTTCCTGTCATCGCCTTCTCATCTCAAGTGCTGACAGCAACGCTCTACATAGATGCACTCTTCACCTGACTGAGCTAGTACAGAACCTTGGCATTTTGTTCAACTTTCAACTGTCCTTTAAACCTCAAATCTGTGCCCATTCAGCTTTTGCCCACCTTCACAACATTCCTCCTCCACTATACATTAATGATTTGGACTCGGGAATCAGCAGTACAATTGCAAAATTTGCGGACAATACCAAATTGGAGGGAGCAGTTAATCCAGAGGAGGACAGCAACAAATTACAACAAGGCATTAATAAACTTGCTGAGTGGGCATTTAATGGCAAATGCATTTCAATGTAGAAAAGTGTGAGGTGGTACATTTTGGTAGAAGGAATAAGGAAATCGCATATATCCTGGAAAATAAAAACCTAATGGGGTAGAGGTGCAAAGGGACCTAGGGGTGTGTACAATTCACTAACAGTAGTAACACAGGTTAATAAGGCCATAAAAAAGGCAAACCAGAGGGATAGAAATGAAAAGCAGGGAAGTTATGGTAAACTTCTATAGAACCTTGATCAGACCACACTTAGAATACTGTGTGCAGTTCTGGTCCCCATATTATAGAAGGGTTGTAGAGGCCCTGGAGAGGGTGCAAAGGAGATTCACAAGGATGATCCCAGAACTGAGAGGTTATACCTATCAGGAAAGGCTGAACATACTTGGACTCTTTTCTCTTGAAAGGAGAAGGATAAGAGGTGACCTGATAGAGGTCTTTAAAATGATGAAAGGTTTTGATAGGGTCGACATAGGGAAAATGTTTCCACTTGTGGGGGAGACCAAAACCAGGGCCATCAATATAAAATACACCAATAGATCAAATAGGGAAGTTAGAAGAAATTTCTTCACACAGAGAGTGGTGGGAATGAGGAACATTCTACCACAAGGAGTTGTTGAGGCAAATAGCATATTTAAGGGGAAGTTAGAGAGATACATGAGGGAGAAAGGAATAGAAGATTCTGCTTGAAGGCTTAGTTGAGGAAGTGCAGGAGGAGGCTCATGTGGAGCATATACACCGGCACAGACCAGTTGGGCCGAATAGCCTGTTTCTGTGCTGTATATTCTAATGTATACTATCTTTCTCTGCTCAGGCTGCCAAAACTCTCATCCATGCTTTCATCACATCTAGACTACACCAACTCACCAGATTTCTCAACTATTCGCTCCACAACAATAAATTACATTTGTATAGCGCTTTTCATGTTGGGAGGAGTCTATAACCCTATCATCCCCACCCTCGCCCAGTTCCATTGGTTCCCCATCCCCCAGAGGATGCAGTTGAAGATCCTCATCCTCACTTTTAAATCCTTCCAGTCTTGCCTTACTGGGACCTTCTAAACCACCAACTTACTCTGATGGGTGGGCACTGGCCTATTTCAGCCTCTGCCCCCAACCGCTGCAATTCCATCCCACAGTCCCTTTGTCTCGCCCCTTCCCTCACCTCTTTCAAGGTTCATCTTGAGACCTTCGACTGCACCTTCACCTTCAGTCCCCCTGAGACTTCTGTATGTGATGGAATGTCCCCAGCTGCTCCTCAAGCTCAAGTGCATGCGGCTGGGTATTCATCACACGTCAGGCATTTCCTGTCCAAAACATGGAAGAGCTCTCCCTCCATTACTCTAATAAAAGGTCACAACTTCAACATGTCTTCTCTAGCCAAAAAAGGGCTAACATAAGAACATACAAATTTGCTAGGCGAAAGAAGACCAAGGTCCATCTTGTTTCGCCCACAAAATATACAGTCGATTCACTTTACAGTATTTTCTGTGAAGAGCTTTGAGACATCTTGGAAGACGTGATAAGGTATGGTATCAAATGGAAGTATTTTTTAATTTTATTTAGGTTCGCCTTCCATCATCCTGGCAATTGCGTGACATGTCATGTTCCAAACTATACACTGTATCCCAAGATATTATTTTCTAGCGGAAATCTCTCTCATTTGTTTTTGAAACATATGACATTTTTTTGCTTCTACCGTCTTCCTAGGAAGTCTGTTCCATAAGTTACCACTCGTTCACTGAAGTAGTGTTTCCCCAGATTTGTTTTGCATTTACTGCCCTTCAATCCCAATCTTCTGGTTCTAACCCCTCCTTAACCTATCCAGTCTATTTTGATAGCAATAATCTACCAGCCCTGGTATCTTCTCAGTAAACTCAGGCTCTACTCTTTCCATTAAAGCCTTCAGCTCCCCTCTCGACTCTCTTCCCCCTCCTCGCTCCCTCCCTTCCCTCCCCTCATCCTGACCATTTCCCCCCTCCTTGCTCCCTCCCTTCCCTCCCCTCACCCTGACCATTTCCCCAATGCTCGGGTCATGACCCAACTGTGCAGCGCCTTGGGACGTCCTCCTGACGTGAAAGGCGCTTTATAAATGGAATCTTGTTGTTGTTGTTGTTTGTGGAGATGTTTTTGTCCTGATTTTCAGGCTGTCGCCGGGTGTGGTGGAGCTGATGATCTTTGTGATGTTCTATTGACAGTTGTTTCTGGGAGTGATTTCACAGTTTGTGGAAGGTTATCGAACAGCATGAAAACATTCCATCTATGCACTAGAGGACCTTCATGCACAATCAATCTGACGTTATCAGAAAACAAGGTTAATGTATACATTGGTGATGGCAACAATTACTCAAATACCGAAACAATCATTACCAAAAACCCTTTAAGCAACTTCTGCTTCACTTGGTCTGCAAACATGAAGAACTACACCATCAGCTCAGAGAATATCCTGAATGTGACAGGCTCCTTAGATAATATGTCAGTGTACAGGAGGTGTGAGAATTTCACCCTCACAAACAGCTTCAACAACAGCGTTGGCAACTTCAGCTACATGAGAATGTTCAATCTGAATTCCATTAAGTTTTTAAAAGCAAGTAGCTTGACATTTCAAGGATCTAACACCTCCTCAGGTGGTAAGTATAATATTCAAGGCCTGATTTGAATCTCATTATCTGAGTGCTGTGGATAAGCTCTTTCTAACATCCAATAAACATAAATAAATAAATAAACAATAAACACTTGGTAAAATCCTTTCTGTTGTAAGATGGAGAGTGCCAGGTTTCCTGGCTGCTCAATGGACCCAGTAACGTAATAATAATAATCTTGCTTGTGATACAACGCCTTATCACGTCTTCTAGACGTCTCAAAGTGTTTCACAGAATATACTGTAAAGTGAATTGTATATTTGTGGGCAAAATGTGGCACTAATTGCACACAGCACCGTCCCACAACCAGTCGTGTATTGAAGTAACCGATTTATTATTATTTTTGAAAGAATTACTACGCCAGGAAAAGTGATCCACTAGTCGCCTAACAATTGGGTTCCTACTAACTGCTGGTAAACAGAGACGCGTGGAGTAAGGAAACTTGCCTAACATTTCTCCCTGCCGGGAATCGATCCCAGTTCTCTCACTTGCGAGGCGAGAGCTCCAACCATTAAGCTTCAGGACTCCAGGATGTCAGAATCAAGCCGGTGACAGTCTCTAGTGATGGGTTCCACATATGTCAGACACCTGGCAGACAAAAAAAAACTTTGTGTTTGTGTTGAATGAAATGAATCTTTGGCAATCATTAACCACCTTTTTCTGTTTAGATGCAGATCCAGATGAGTGTGAGCAAATGGCAAACAGGATAAAGGATGCTGCTGAAGCATTTGTGGGAAACTTGAATGAACCTAATTACATTTCTCAGTTTATGATATTAATGCTCAGCAACATGGTGAACAGATGTGGAGATCAGATTTCTAACATGTAGGTACAGCACAACCAGTCCCCACCAATACTAGAGAAGCTTTCAAGCTTCACCATCATTCTCCAAGCGCTGGCTTTACACCAAGAGTCCACATTCAGCACTTACCAACAACTTGAAGAATTTCAGTGGGAGTTAGAGTAAGGTCAGGGCTGAAGAGTTAAAGTGTCGGTCAGTGAATGGTGTGAGGGAGAGCCATAATGTCATGGAATGGCAGAACAGGCTCGAGGGGCTGAATGGCCTTCTCCTGTTCCTATGTTCCTGTGAGAGCTTAAGGTCAAACCAAATGCGCAGGTAAGCAGTGGTTTTGTGAGTTTGAGAGAGGCCGATTTTGACAGGGCTTTGACATTGTGCATAGGAAAATCCTATTCCCACTGTGGTGTGGGGAGGGGGGGTGGTTCCAGGGGTGGGGAGGTGGGGAAAGAAGGAGGCAACATTACCGAGAGCAGCAATTATGTAATCTGAGTCTTCTCTGCTTTAAAGAAACATCTCACGGGGTAATTTATAGACATAAATTATTATTATTATAAAAAAGATGCCGAGAGGGACTGAAAAAGTAAGGTAGGACACTAGTGTCAAGAAAGGCAGCAGGACAAGAGGACAGGGGTGTGAAGGACAAAGTTAGGACAGGCACCAGGAAGCATTTCTTTCCAAATTAATTACTTGGGTCGGGAGGCAGGAGGACAGCGAGATGGTATTCTGAGATCAATGGGATTCAAATGCGTTTCTGAGATCAATGGGATTCAAATGCTTTTTGTCAGGTCATCGCGGATATTTGGATTTGTTGCAACAAGCTTCCCGCTACCTGTCCAGTGCGGAGGACCTGCCAGAGGGGCTTTGGCTCCACGGGAGCTGAGTGGGAAGGTAACTTCTCCCAGGGATTCCACTCCAAATCCTGGAGTGATCCAGGCTCTGAGTCAGACTGGCTGGTCTTTCCTGTACTCGAGAGCACGGCAAAGGGTTGACTCAATTCTGACACTCTTGGCAAGCACATCACCTTCGAGCTCGGTCAATCCAGACCCTGTTTCTTACCCTACCCCCCCAGTACCATATTACATTGAAACTTGGATGCAGAGCTTTGTGTACAGCATTGGTTTTATTCACAGTTTAAGTTAAAAGTACCACATTAGTGGTTTGTTTACAATGTGTACACGACTAACTGTGTTCTGTGTGCTGTCACACAGCTCCTTCTATTCCAGGATCCCCTTGTTTCTTAATCAGGTCACGAGGAAGGATCTTAACCGATTCAATAGAAGACAAGTCATTATTAACAATAATGTAACAAGTTTAATAATGTTATTTCCTCTTCATGGGTTTTATGGAGTCAGCATTGAAAGCAACAGCAGCTTGGTAAGTAAAAGACAAAATGTAGGAGGGTGTGACGGGGAGTGTGACGGGGAGTGTGATGGGGAATGTTGAGGGGGGGGAGTGTGGGGGCAAGTTTGGGGGAGAGTGTGGGGGGAAGTTTGGGGGGAGTATGGGGGGAGTGTGGGGGGAAGTTTGGGGGGGAGTGTGGGGGATGTGATGGGGAGTGAGATGGGGAGTGTGAGAGTTGTAATGGGGAGTGTGGGAGGGTGTGAAGGGGAGTGTGACGGGGTAAGTGTGACGGGGGAAGTGTGATGGGGAGTGTGACGAGGAGTGTGATGGGGTGTGTGTGGGGGGGGGGGAGCGTGGAGGGAAGTTTAGTGGGGAGTTTGTGGGGAGTGTGGGGGAAGTTTGGGGGGAGTGTGGGGGATGTGATGGGGAGTGAGATGGGGAGTGTGGGGGGGTGTGTGTGGGGGGGAGCGTGGAGGGAAGTTTAGTGGGGAGTTTGTGGGGAGTGTGGGGGGAAGTTTGGGGGGGAGTGTGGGGGATGTGATGGGGAGTGAGATGGGGAGTGTGAGAGTTGTAATGGGGAGTGTGGGAGGGTGTGAAGGGGAGTGTGACGGGGTAAGTGTGACGGGGGAAGTGTGATGGGGAGTGTGACGAGGAGTGTGATGGGGTGTGTGATGGGGTGTGTGGTGGGGGAGGAGTGTGGGGGGAAGTTTGGGGGGGAGTGTGGGGGGATGTTTGGGGGGAGTGTGGGGGGAAGTTTGGGGGGGGAGTGTGGGGGATGTGATGTGGAGTGTGACGGGGAGTGTGGGAGTTGTGATAGGGCATGTGAGGGTGTGACGGGGAGTGGACGGGGAGTGTGACGGTGGAAGTGTGACGGGGGAAGTGTGACGGGGAGGGTGGGAGGGTGTGACGGGGACTGTGATGAAGTGTGTAATGGGGAATGTGGGGGGGTTAATGGGGAGTGTGACGGTGAGTGTGTGGGGATGTGTGTGGGGGGAGAGTGTGGGGGATGTGATGGGGAGTGTGACGGGGAGTGTGGGGGTTTGATTGGGAGTGTGACGGGGAGTGTGACGGGGAGTGTGAAGGGGAGTGTGAGGGGGAGTGTGACAGGGAGTGTGACACGGAGTGTGTGAGGGTTGTGATGGGGAGTGTGACGGGGAGTGTGACGGGGAATGTGAGGGGGAGTGTGATGGGAAGTTTGACGGGGAATGTGGAGGTTGTGACGGGGAGTGTGACGGGGACTGTGATGGGGAGTGTGGGGGTTTGATCGGGAGTGTGACGGGGAGTGTGACGGGGAGTGTGACATGGCATGTGATGGGGAGTGTGATGGGGTGTGTGACGGGGAATGTGAGGGGGAGTGTGATGGGAAGTTTGACGGGGAATGTGGAGGTTGTGACGGGGAGTGTGACGGGGACTGTGATGAGGTGTGTGATGGGGAGTGTGGGGGTTTGATCGGGAGTGTGACGGGGAGTGTGACGGGGAGTGTGACATGGCATGTGATGGGGAGTGTGATGGGGAGTGTGACGGGGAGTGTGGGAGTTTGATCAGGAGTGTGACGGGGAGTGTGATAGGGTAGGTGACAGGGAGTGTGATGGGGAGTGTGACGGAGAGTGTGATTGGGAGTGTGACAGTGTGATGTGCTGTGTGATGGGGAGTGTGTGCTCTCTCTGACGATGGGGAGTGCGAGTGCTTTCTGGAGAGACTTCTTTTCTTTGGACTTCAGTGAGTCCTCAGTTTAATATCTTGCTCAGAAATTTTGAAAGCAATGTACTGGTGTCAGCCTTGATGATGAGCTCAAGTATTCCTATCACAACATCACAGGGTTGTTTCAAATGAAGAAAGCCTTCGCCCATTAGATTTAATGCTTCCGTTACATCCACCCCATATCCTCCCATTACAGCTGTGATGTTTGAGGCCAGGACACTGGACTCATTTGAGAAATCCACTCGATGCTGTGATTGGAGGAAGGGCGGGGATTTTCGAAAGATGAGATCAGATGGGCCGAAGGATCTTTTTCACATGAACTCATCTTGTGATCTGTATATTTAAAATCAGTCTGGGGTCTAGAGCTATAAATAATAATCCTTGCATTTGAAATAGTGCCTTATCATGTCTTCAAGACGTCTCAAAGCAATACTGTAAATTTAATTGACTGTATATATTGTGGGCGAAACACAGTAGCCAATTATGGACAGCAGTGACCCACAAACAGTCATAGATTAAGTGACCAAATGTTATTTTTTTTGAAGGAATTATTCCCCCAGGAAAAGCGATCCTCTAATTGACTAACAACCAGGTTTCTTCTTACTGCTGGTTAACAGAGGCGTGTGGAGTAAGGAAACTTGCTCAACTTTTCGCCCTGTGCTGGAATCTAACCCAGATCTCTTGCTTGCAAGGCGAGTGCTCTAACCACTGAACTACAGGAATTCACTGTGTCAGCCGAGACTGTGAGCTCAAATATTCCCATGTTGAGACATTTCAGAGGAAAGCTACATAATTAATCTCTGTAATGTTCCAAGCTTTATCGAACAGTTTAAGTGAGAAGAAGGAACATTTGTAGTGAATTTTCTGTGGAGAAGAAAACTGAACTGATCTTTATTGTTGATAGATAACTTTCAATCGAACAGAAACAGTGAAGAATCCAACAATTGAGATTACCATTAATAAAGATGTCCAGATGAATGAACCGTTTAACATTGTGTCAACCCTTTACAAAGGAACAGCTTTTTTCCAGGTAATCATTCGACCGTTACTGTAACCAATATAAACACAGAAGTGTTGGGAACCCTCAGCAGGTCAGGCAGCATCTATGGAGAGAGGAAAGTGAGTTAACGTTTCAGGTCGATGACCTTTGGTCCACATCCCCTCCCTCCCTGTCAATCCTCCCCCACCCCACCCTCGTCTCACACATTCCTCCACCACAATCGTCCCCTCCGCATTGGCTTACAAAATGTCCGCTCCCACTCCAGTAAAACGCTCACCATCCAAGACCTCATTGTCGAGGAAATCATCAACATTCTCACCCTCACTGAAACCTGGATAACACCAGGCAACACCTTCCCCCTGACAGAGACCACACCACCCGGCTACACCTTCCACCATACCTAACTGCCGTGGTGGCAGCTTGGCTCTAATCTCCCGGTCTCCTTATTCCTCTGGAATCTTCCCCTCCCTTGAGCACCTTACCCTCTAGCAACCCTCCTCCACCTTCCTCTCAGACATCTCCACCTTCCTAGCTTCCCTCTCCCTCTGCTCTGAACACCCCAGGTTCCTTTTCTCTACCACTAATCACATCCTCTGTCCACCTTCCAATCCTTGCCTGTACTCTCCTCCAATTCTAACTGCAAGGAGATGTTGGACTTCCTTGAGTCGAAAATCAAGCCAATTTGTTTGGCTACCTCTCCCCCGTCTACTGCTACCCCCTCCCCACCTCCCCGTCACTCCCGGCCCCTACCCATCCCTTCCTACACACCTTCGACCCCGTCTCCTCCTCTACCTTCACCTCCATCATCTCAAAAATGAAGCCAACCATATGCTCCCTCGATCCCATCCCCACCCCTCTCCTCACTTCCCACTCCATCTCCTATCCCCTCTTTGAACTGACATCATCAACCTTTCCTTATCCACTGGCATTGTTTCCACCCCCATAAAAACAGCTGTCATCACGCTCAGCCTCAAAAAACCTTCCCTGGACCCAACAACAACAACAAGATTCCATTTATAGAGCACCTTTCACGTCAGGAGGACGTCCCAAGGCGCTGTACAGTTGGGTCAGGACCCGAGCAGGGGGGAGATGGTCAGGGTGAAGGGAGGGAAGGGAAGGAGCGAGGAGGGGGTAGAGAGTCGAGAGGGCAGCTGAAGGCTCAGTCAAAGAGAAAGGTCTTGAGACCGGCCTTGAAGGAGGAAAGGGAGGAAGCGGCGAAGGCACTGGGGGATAGAGTTCCAGAGCCTCAGGGCTGAGAGTGCCAGATTTCACACAGGTGCATTCAGTGGCCAACACCTGGCTCTTCAGTGAGCGGAGGTGCATGGTGAACCAGGGGGAGGAGTGAGAGTAGAAGACAGTACGGGAGGTGATGGGGGCAAGAATGTCGAGTGTGGAGGAGAGGGTGTTGTGGAGGAGGGTGAGAGCAGAAGAGGGGTCAGTGAGGGTTGAAGGCCAGAGGGAGAGGAGTTCAGAGGACTCCAAGGCAGCGGTTAGGGATTGTGGGGGTAACTTCTTCCAGGGGCGGTAGAAGATGGTGGTGGGTCTGGTGGAGGTGGGGAGGGGGTGGAGGTGGTGAAGGAGATGAAGTGGTGGTCAGAGATGGCCTTGTCGGTAATAGTGACATCCGAGACACTGAGGCCCCGGGTGATCACCAAGTCGAGTGGGTGGCCGTGACTGTGAGTGGGGGAGTTGATGTGGAGGGAGAGGTTGAGCGAGGAGAGCAGGGAAGAGAAGTCTGAGGAGATGGAGCAGGAGGGGGTGAAGTGCAGGTTGAAGTCGCCCAGGATGATGAGGCGATCAGAGCAGAGGCAGAGAGATGTAAGGAGTGTCGAAATATCGGAGATGAAGGTGGGAGAGGTTTTAGGGGGCCGGTAGAGGAGGAGGATTTTAAGGGAGAGGAATGAGGGGTGGGAGAGGGTGAGGTGCTCGAAAGAGGGGAAAGAGCCAGAGGAGTAGGGGGATAGGGCAAGTGGTGTCCTTGAGATAAGGGCTACACCACCGCCACGGCGGTTGGGGCGAGGGATGTGGTGGGAGGTGTAGCCGGGTGGTGTGGCCTCCGTGAGGGGGAAGGTGTCGCCTGGGGTGAGCCAGGTTTCCGTTAAGGCCATGATATCAACGCTCTCATCAAGGATGAGATCGTTGATGACCAGGGCCTTGTTACAGAGGGAGCGGACGTTTTGTAGTCCGATGTGGAGGGAGCGGTTGACAGAAGGGTGTGTGGGAGGGGAGGGGGGTCCAGGTTGTGAGGCAGGGGTGGGGGAAATGGGGATGAGGGAGGAGAGGTTGGCTCCCCGGGTCTGTGTCCGGGGTGGGTGGCGAGTGTGGTGGGGAATGGGGCAGTCGGTGTGGCTGCTGCTGGACAGCCAACGCCGAGTGCCGCGGTGAGCCCGGCGGAGGATTCCCAGACTGGAGCAGAGGGAGGTTGTGGGAGGGTCAAGTGGGGATAGAAGGCGAGAGGGACGGAGAGAGAGGAGGATAGAGCGGAAGAGATGCAGAAGGGGGAGGGTTTGGGGGTAGACGAGGTGGGGGGGGGGTGAGGGGGCTTGGGTCAAAGCGGCAGCCATAGTGCGCACGTGGGGACCGGGAGCGAGCGGTCAGGTTGATGGCATTATCCCATAGGCTGGGGCTGGGGCAGCCAACCCAACAGGACCATTGTGGGCTCTGAGCTCTGGGGGGGAGGGGGGGGGTGCAGAGGGTTTTTTTTTTGTTGCGCGCGCACACTCCTGAAAACTAAACTATGACGTCAGCGGTTCCCCCGCTCCGCCCCCACCTGTTCCCTCCTCAGCCCCACACCCCCCCCCCAGCTGGACTCCCTGCCGCGTCGAGTTTAAATACCTGAGAGGTAGGCCCAGGCTCCTCCCCGCGCTGTCCTGCTGCCGCTCCCCGACCCATCTCTATTCTCCAGTTATCGCCCCATCTCCAACCTCCCATTCTTCTCCAAGGCCCTGGAATGTGTTGTCGCATCCCAGCTTCACTCTTTCCTCTCCCGCTATTCCTTCTATAAACCCCTCCAATTGGGTTTCCGTGCTGCCCACAGCCCTGGTCAAAGTCACTAACGACATTCTGAACATCTGCGACCAGGGCTCCCTCTGTCCACGACCTTCGCAACCACATCATTCCCACCCTCGCTCAGCTTCGCGACCACATCACTCCCACCCTCGCTCACCTCCACTGGCTCCCCATCCCCCAGAGGATCGAATTCAAGATCCTCATCCTCACCTACAAGCCCATTCACGGCCTCGCTCCCTCCTACCTCTCCGACCTACTATCCCCCTACTTACCTGCCCATACCCTCCGTTCCTCTGGCTCCGATCTGCTCCACATCCCCCGTCCCAACCGCCCTACCATCTGTGGTCGGGCCTTCAGCCTCTCAGCCTCGAGGCTCTGGAACTCTATCCCCCAGTGCCTTCGCCGCTTCCTCCTTTTCCTCCTTCAAGGCCGGTCTCAAGACCTTTCTCTTTGACCGTGCCTTCAGCTCCCCTCTCGACTCTCTACCCCCTCCTCGCTCCCTCCCTTCCCTCCCTTCACCCTGACCATTTCCCCCTCCTCGCTCCCTCCCTTCCCTCCCCTCACCCTGACCATTTCCCCCCTCCTCGCTCCCTCCCTTCCCTCCCCTCACCTTGACCATTTCCCCCCTCCTCACTCCCTCTCTTCCCTCCCCTCACCATTTCCCCCCAATGCTCGGGTCCTGACCCAACTGTACAGCTCCTTGGGACGTCCTCCCGACGTGAAAGGCGCTCTATAAATGGAATCTTATTGTTGTCCCCTTGTCCTCCTCGACCTCTCTGCTGCCTTCGACACTGTTGACCATTCTATCCTCCTCTATTGCCTTTTCTCTCAGCTCAACCTTCAAGGAGTTGTGTTTTCACTAATGGCTTCTCCTCCAGCCCCCGCACCATCATGTGTGGCATTCCTCAGGGCTCTGTCCTTGGTTCCCTCCTCTTCAACATCTATATAGTCCCTCTTAATGACATCATCCGTAGACATGGGGTCAACTTCCACAAGTATGCGGATGACACCCAACTCTCCCTCTCTGCCTCCACCCGCAACTCCAGGACCACTGCTGTCCTCATAGAATGTCCTACATCCCCCACATCCATACCATGACCCGCTCACCTTTCCCCACCTCCGCAACATTACCCAGCTCTGCCACTGTCTCTCACCCCAGGCCGCCTCATCTACGCATTCATCAGATCCAGGCACGACCAAGCAAACTCCCTGCTTGTTGATCTCCCCAACGTCTCCATCCACAGGCTGAGGTTATCCAGAATGTTGCAGCCCGTGTCCTCTCCCGCACAAGGATGCGCGAACTGGTGTGGGAGAGGATACGGACATCACCTCCATCCTCATCCGACTCCATTGACTTTCCATCACACAGAGGATACAGATCAACATCCTGGTCCTCACCTTCAAAGCTCTCCATGGCCTTGCTCTTCCCTACCTGTGTGGCCTCCTAACCAACCTATCCATTCCCTCTGCTCAATGGGCTCCAGCCTGCTTCACGTCCCCCACCTTGCCCACCGCACCATTGGCAAGTGGGCCTTCAGCCTCTCTGACCCCACTCTCTGGAACTCCATCCTACAGTCCCTCTGCCTCACCCCCTTCTTTGCTTCCTTCAAGACATGTCTCAAGTCCCTCATCTTCGACTGTGCCTTCAGTTACCTTTTTACCTCTGCCCTCTCTGCCCTCTACCCCTCCAGCTCGGGTGTGGATCCCTGACTGTCCTGCACCTTGGGACATCCTCCCGACATGAAAGGCTCTGTACAAATGTAATTTGTTGTTTGCTGTTGCTGTTGTTATTGATGTGTGTGGGGGGCTGCTGGGGGTGATGCAGTGAGCTGGGGATAATAACGGTAATTTGTTATTTGTTGTTGTTTGCTGTTGAGCCATTGCGCACATCGATAAATTGAGTTTGGTGGATTTTCCTGAAATGAACTTTGCTCTGTTTCCAGGATGAATATAATACCTCTATTTTAAACAATCTTGTTGTTGACATTACTGTTGGGATTAGCAGCATTCATCTGAGAAACATCGTCAATATTACATTCCATCACCCTTTTAATGTGGTAAGATACATTTCTGTACATCATCAGATCCTCTTCCACTGAAATCAAACCCAATAATGTGTCCATTTATTTCTATTTCAGGGAAATCGTAATTGTGCTTTCTGGGAATTTAGTCCAACAGGTAAATGCCGTTTGTTTTAAAAAAATGCTTCATTAATCAGCTCCTGTTGAGTGAAAATGAGAGTAACTATTAAAGCATTAACACAGACTATTAAAATATTAATAAGACTAATACAATATAAACAATACCTTGTGTTGCAGGCTCCAGGGAGCAGGGCAACTGGAATATTTCGGGCTGCACCACACACAACTCCGAGTACACAACACAATGTCTCTGTGATCACCTGAGCTTCTTTGCAGTGTTGCTGGTGAGAGTACAATGCACAACATGGGACCTGATTGGCTCACAGAATGATCCACTGATTCCCTAATACACATTAAAATAACAATAATAGTCCTTGCATTTGATATAGCACCTTATTACCATCTTTTAGACATCTCAAAGTGCTTCACAGAATATACTGTAGTGTAATGCCTGTATATTTTATGGGCGAAACGCGGCAGAGCCAATTGCGCACAACACATCCTGCACATTAATAAACTGTTACACAATATTAGAGAATTAATCAGTAATAGTTATAAATACATTCATACATCAATGCAGCAATTTGAACAATATTAGTGAGCAATTTACAAAGATTATTCACTTCAATTTGGCTTGTTTTGAACCAATCTTCAGTGTGTTTGTGGTTGGGGTGGGTTGTGTGTTGGGATGGAAGCAGTTTGCTGCCACTTCTCACTGACTCTGTCTCTCCCCCAGGATGTTGGCCTGCCTCTGGACCCCAGTGTCGTCATCTCTTTGGAATTTATAACACTGATTGGCTGCACAATCTCTGCCGTGTTCCTGACCATTACCATCATCCACTACATCTACTTGAGGTCAGGTCATTTTACACCATCTCATCCCTCACACAGCTCCCAGCAACACTAACCTGATGTGTATAACATCCCTCATGTTGTATAATGTCATGGGGCCCTTTACAAAGATGGCATCTGACACCAAACGGGGAGGGGGGAGCTGACCATAGGTACGGTTCGATTTTGTGTGGTTCTGAAATCCTATTGGCACAGTGTGGCTTCCTGGATCTAAAAGGCATAAGATTATAACAGCAACAACAAGGAATGCTTGCCTTCAAGTATAAAGCCTCATCACATTATTTAGAGTCTCAAAGTGCTTTCCAGGATTTTTACTCTAAACATTTTTAGGTAAATGCAGCAAACAATTTGCACACAGCAATGTGGACAAAAAGTGAATACATTTTATCTGGAGGATTGTTGGCCAGGAAACTGGGAGAGAGAAACTCCTTTCTCTTTATTCCGGGATCTCTAATAGCTGCCTGAACAGGCACAGTTGGGATCTCGGTTTAACATGGCCCGAGAAGGATGGCACATCTCAAAATGTAACACTCACTCTTGCTATGCATTGGAGTCAGCTTCGTGGGCACTGAATTTACAACCTCCTGACAGAGAGGCCAGAGTCTTGCTGCTCAGTGTTAGAACACTCATCTCGCAAGCGAGAGGACACAGGTTTGATTCCTGGGAAGGGCAAAACCTTAGGCAAGGTTTCCTTACTCCACACTCCTCTGTTTACCTAGCAGTGAAGAGGGATTGGAGGATCGCTTTCCAGGGTTAATAATCCCACCCCACAATTTTTTTTAAAATAATAATTTGGTTATTCAATCCATGACTGTTTGTGTGACTCTGCTGTGAGCAATTGGCTGTTGCATTACACTATATTCTGTGAAGCACTTTGAGACGTCTTGAAGACACGATAACAACAACAAAATGACATTTATAGAGCACCTTTCACGTCAGGAGGATGTCCCAAATCACTGAACAGTCAGGGGTTGAGGCCTGAGAATGGGGGAGGGGTGGGGTAGGGTTGAGGGAAGGCAGAGAGGTTGGGAGGGCGATCAAAGGCACGATCAAAGAGAAGGGTCTTGAGGCTGGCCTTGAAGGAGGCAAGGGAGGAAAAGAGGCAAAGGGACCATGGGATGGTGGTGCTATACCACATGCGAGGATTATTTGGGATTATATATAGAGGCGAGAGTGCTACCAACTGAGTCAGCCTGATACCTAAAGGGTAATAAGGCAGCCTAATGTCAGGAGGAGAGGGGTCTGATGAACATGACAGCCTGGCACCTGTTATTCTCTAAACTTAAAAAAAAAGGGGGAGGTAATCGAGGTTCATGGATCTGAGCTGGCTTCGAGACAACATGCTTGTCAACAAACTGCTGTAATCAAGTCTACTCTTGGTGAAGGTCTAATCTGGTTCCTGAGCCAGCCAGGTCCACAGAACTCCAGGTAGTCCGAGCAGCACACAAAGCGGGCTCTCAGTAGTTGGGGGAGGGGGGGCACTAAACTTGGGGGGTTCATTGTGGTGGATGGGGCAGGCAGGGGGTTGTGTTTAACCTCACAAACAGGGACCAAACTGTTTAGAAACAAGAATACAGAATCTAACATGTGTCACCCGGAGTAGGGGATGGGTTTCAAAGAATCATTGAATCATAGAATTATACAGCACAGAAGGAGGCCATTCAGCCCATCGTGTCTGTTTCGGCTCTTTGAAAAGAGCTTCCAAATCAACCCCACTCCCCCGCGCTCTCCCCATAGCCCTGATCAACCCCACTCCCCCACTCTCTCTCCATAGCCCTGATCAACCCCACTCCCCCACTCTCTCTCCATAGCCCTGATCAACCCCACTCCCCCGCGCTCTCCCCATAGCCCTGATCAACCCCACTCCCCCGCGCTCTCCCCATAGCCCTGATCAACCCCACTCCCCCGCTCTCACTCCCCATAGCCCTGATCAACCCCACTCCCCGCGCTCTCCCCATAGCCCTGATCAACCCCACTCCCCGCTCTCTCTCCCCATAGCCCTGATCAACCCCACTCCCCCGCTCTCTCCCCATAGCCCTGATCAACCCCACTCCCCCGCTCTCTCTCCCCATAGCCCTGCAAACTTGTCCTCCACAAATAATTATCTAAGATCTCAAAGATGATCCAGTCAACCTGTTCCTTTCGCTGTGCTAAAAAGTTTTGTGTTCTGTGTTCTTTTGAAAGATAATGCTAAATTGTCTTTTTAGCTTGAAGAAACAAATTGATTCATTCAATAAGATCCACCTAAATCTGTGCATCTCTCTGCTCTTCCTGAACATCGACTTTCTGCTGATTAAGAAGCTGTCCTCATTACACATTGACTGGCTCTGCAAGGCTCTGGCCATCAGTCTGCACTACTTCTTCCTCAGCAGCTTTGTGTGGATGGGGGTTGAAGGCTTCCACCTCTACCTGCTCATCATCAAAGTGTTCCACACTCAAATAAACTGGTACTTGCTAAAGGCATCGCTCATTGCTTGGGGTGAGTGGACACATTCCCTGTGTTGTTCGCGCGGTACACATTCTGTCACAGTAAAACACTCAGTGATTGTCAGCCACTATTGTCAAGATGCCTCTGGTAACAGCTGCTCTCTTTCTTCTGACAGGTTTCCCAGCTATTGTCGAGGGTATTTCATTTGCTGTGAACCAGGAGATGTATGGTTACTACAACATCAGCAGCACCAACTCTGAGATGTGAGGGTGGGCGTGAGGGTATGGGTATGGATGAGAGTGTGGGTGGGAGTGAAGGTATGGTGCGGGTGTGGATGGGTGTGAGGGTGGGGGTGGGGGTGTGGGTGAGGGGGAATGTGTGGGTGGGGGAGTGGGTGCGGGCGGGGGTGCAGGTGCCGGTGAGGGTGGGGGTGTTGGGGTGGTTGGGGCTGGGTGTGGGGGTGAGCATGTGGTTGTGGGTGGAGGTGAGGGTGTGGGTGGGACTGAGGGTGAAGGTGGGGGTGAGAGTTGTGATAGGTGAGGTTGAGGGTGTGGGTGAAGGTATCGATGGGGGAGTGGGTGTAGGTGGGGCAACAACAACAACAACAAGATTCCATTTATAAAGCGCCTTTCACGTCAGGAGGACGTCCCAAGGCGCTGCACAGTTGGGTCAAGACCCGAGCAGGGGGGAAATGGTCAGGGTGAGGGAGGGAAGGGAGGGAGCAAGGAGGGGGGAAATGGTCAGGGTGAGGGGAGGGAAGGGAGGGAGCGAGGAGGGGGAAGAGAGTCGAGAGGGGAGCTGAAGGCACGGTCAAAGAGAAAGGTTTTGAGACCGGCCTTGAAGGAGGAAAGGGAGGAAGCGGCGAAGGCACTGGGGGATGGAGTTCCAGAGCCTGGGGGCTGAGAGGCTGAAGGCCCGACCACCGATGGTAGGGCGGTTGGGGCGGGGGACGTGGAGCAGACCAGAGCCAGAGGAACGGAGGGTACGGGCAGGTAGGTAGGGGGATAGTAGGTTGGAGAGGTAGGAGGGAGCAAGGCCGTGAATGGCCTTGTAGGTGAGGATGAGGATCTTGAAATCAATCCTCTGGGGGATGGGGAGCCAGTGGAGGCGAGCGAGGGTGGGAGTGATGTGGTCCCGAAGTCTGGTGCGGGACAGTACACGAGCTGCAGAGTTCTGAATGACCTGCAGCTTGTGGAGGGAGGTGGCGGGAAGGCCGACGAGGAGAGAGTTCCCATAGTCCAGCCTTGAGGTGACAAAGGCGTGAACCAGGGTTTCAGCAGCGTGAGGGGTGAGGTAGTGCCGTAGTCTGGCGATGTTCCGGAGGTGATGGAAGGCGGTGCCAGTTATGGCGCGGATGTGAGGGAGAAAGGACAGCTCAGGGTCGAACAAAACGCCGAGGTTCCTGACTGGCTTTGAAAGGTGGAGAGTGCAGCCTTGGATGCTGATGGTGTCGGTGCCTGAGGTGCGGAGGCGCTGACGTGAGCCAATCAGGAGGGCCTCAGTTTTTCGCACGTTGAGCTGAAGAAAGTTGTCTCTTGTCCAGGACTCGATGTCGGACAGACAGCTGTCAGGACATCGGTGGTCGTGGAGTTGAGAGTAGAGGAGGAAAGGTAGAGTTGGGTGTCATCCGCATACATGTGGAAGTTAACTCCATGTCTGCGGATGATGTCACCACAGGGGGAGCATATAGAGGGTGAAGAGGAGGGGACCGAGGACAGAGCCCTGAGGGACACCACATGAGACAGTGCAGGGGGTGGAGGAGAAGCCATTCGTCGAGACAAAGTGAAGACGGTGAGAAAGGTACGACCTAAACCATTCAAGGACAGTGCCTTGAAGGTTGAGGTGGGAGGACAAGCGGTGGAGTAGGATAGCGTGGTCGACCGTATCGAATGCTGCCGATAGGTCGAGGAGCACGAGGAGACAGAGGGAGCCCTGGTCACAGATGGTCAGGATATCATTGGTGACCTTGACCAGGGCAGTTTCTGTGCTATGGGCAGCACGGAAACCCGACTGAAGGGGTTCGAAAAGTGAATGGGTGGAAAGGAAAGAGCGCAGTTGGGAGGCGATGGGGCAGGGGGTGTGGTTGAGGATTGTGGTGGGTGGGGTTGAAGGTGTGGATATGGGTGAGGGTGGGGGTGAGGATGTGGGTGAGGATGTAGATGGCGTTTGGTGTGGAGGGGGTGTGATGGATGCAGAGGGTGTGGGTGGGGGTGTGGGTGGGGTGGGAGGGGGTGTGGGTGGGGTGGGAGGGGGTGTGGGTGGGGTGGGGCTGAGGGTATAGGTGGGGGTGAGGTTGTGTTTGGGGGTGAGGGTGAAGGTGTGGCTGTGCGTGAGGGGGAGGGTTGTGGTGGGTGGAGTCAAGGGTGAGGGTAGGAGTGAGTATGTGGGTGAGAGTGAGGATGTGGGTGTGGGTGGCGTGAGAGTTTGGGCGAGGGTGGGGGTGCAGGTGTGGGTAAGGGTGAGGGTGTGGTTTTGGATGGGAGTAAGGGTGGGAGTGTGGTTGGGTGTGAGGGTGGGGCTGAGGGTGAGGGGGGGGTGGGGGGGTGGATGGGGGTGTGGATGGGGGTGAGGGTTGGGGTGAGGGTGAGGATGTGATCTTTGCTGCTCTCTGCAGATGCTGGATAACCGATCACCTGGTGCAACACATCACTAACTGGGGCACGTTTGGTCTGGTTTTCCTGGGGAACACGATGATCCTGACGGTCACTCTGGTCAAGGTGTTGCAGTTGAAACGAGCAGATGCTCAGTACAAACAGGACTCTGGTAACTGCAAGTCCTTGTGCTCGGTGCTGAGCCTGAGTGTGCTGTTGGGCCTGACCTATGGAGTGGCCTTCTTCCAGTTCGGCTCCGGTCGAGTCTTCATTCTCTTCCTCTTCACCATCCTGAACTCCCTGCAGGGTTAGTCACTGTCACCGCTAACTGTACCCCCCTCCTCTAACCCCCACCAACTTGCACTTGCATGTCTCAGAGCGCTTAACATTGGCGTAGCCTGACTCTGAGCTGACTTGGTGAGGGGGTGTAGGATGGTGGTGGTGGGGGGAGAATGGAGGTGGCCATAAGCACAGTCAAAGAGAAGAGAGGAAGGTTTACAACCGGGACTTGAAAAAGGGGAGAGAGGGACCAAGGTGGAGGGATTGAGGGAGAGCGTTCCAGCATTTCGGGGCATAGTGGCTGAAAGCATAGCCTCTGATGGTGGAGTGGAGGGTGCAAACAACAACCAGTAAGATAAGGCAAAATACTGCAGATACTGGAAATCTGAAATAGAAACCAAAGTCGTTGGGAACCCTCAGCAGGTCAGGCAGCATCTATGAAGAGAAGGGACCCCGGAAGGGTCCTTACATTCAAATCCCTTCTCTCCATAGATGCTGCCTGACCTGCTGAATGTTCCCAGCGACTTCATTTTTTTAGAACCAGGAAGATACCAGCACAACAACTGATGAGATCAGGCCTCCACGTGGCCTTCTCCTTCTATCCCTTTCTCTCCCTCTCCCTTCCTCTGTCCCTCCCTCTCTCCATTCCTCCCTCTCCTTGTTGCTTTCTCACTCCGACGCTCTCTCCCTCCCTCCTTCCCTCCCTCTTCTCCCTGTAGTGCTCTGGGATTCCGCCCAGCGAGGAGAGCGCTATATAAATGCATTTGTTGTAGTTGTTGTAGGTGTTTAATCACAAACTTAAGGCCATCAGTTCGACCTGATCTTATTCTGATTCCTTTATCTGGTTCCAGGGTTTTTCATCTTCCTGTGGCATTGCTTGCTGACCATTCAAGCCAGAAAGTCCAAGAAGCAAAACTCATCAACGTCATAGAGGAAATCCCGGAATGTAGTGGCCCTCGTACACTCCGAGGCACCACAACCAGTGAAACTCACCCAGCAAAGCTCTTAACAGCATAATAATAATAATAATAATAATAATAATAATAATGCTTGTTGTGGCATCAACACACCTCAGCTCTCCTCTGCTATTTCCTCCCCACGCTTGACCAATCCCAATACGTTGACAGTTCCCCACTGCACCATCCTAGCAGTCGCTTGACATATCGTGTCCCAAACTATACAGTGTATCCCCAGATATTATTTTCCAGCAGAAATCTGTTTAATTTGTTCTTGAAACAAACAGCAGTTTCTGCTCCTACCGTCTGTCTCCCTCGGGAGCCTGTTCCATAAGTTTACTACTCGATCACTGAAGTAGCATTTCCACATCAATGCCATAACCTGCTCTGCCTTCCACCACCTCCGAAACATTGCCCTGAGTCCGCCAGTGCCTCAGGCCGCCGAAACCCTCATCCATGCATTTGTTACATCTAGGCTCAACTACGCCAATTCCCTGCTCGTCGGTTTTCCCAACTCTTCCCTCCACAAACTGCAGATCATCCAGAACTCTGCAGCTCGTGTCCTCTCCCGCACCAGGCTCCATGACCTCCTCATCCATTTCCTTGCCCGACTCCACTGGCTCCCCATCCCCCAGAGGATAGAGTTCAAAATCCTTCCGTTGATCCCTCATCCCCGTGTGAAAGGTGCTGTTTATTTAAGTTGTTGTTTTTGTTCTACCCTGAAGGAACTCTGTTTGAACTTCACCCTCCGCAATGTCCTTTCGCTCTAATACTGTATGGGAGTCTCTGATTAATGGTGCCGCCTCTCTGCCCCTGATCTGCACTGTGAGAGAGCTGTACCTGCCCGCCCTCAAGCCACATGGCAGTTAATGCTATAAGATTGCCATGAGTTTTCCCATTTTATTTTTGATGCTGTGTTTGCAGATAAACACTGGCCTGAACGGCTGCTCTGTCATATCTGTTCACTTTTCCTGCTCTCTCTGCTTTCTCTCTTTTTATATATCAGTTCATCGCCATGTATTAATCTCCAGATTTGCCCTGGCACATGGCACTCAGAGTAACGAGACATTTCAAAGTACTTCACTGTGAAGTGTTGTAATTGTGTGTTACATAGATATACGCAGCAACCAATTTGCGCAGAGTGATGTCTCACAAATAGCCATGGAATCAATGACTAATATGATGTGGGGGGAATTGTTGACCAGACACCGGGAGAAGGAAACTCCTTTCTCTTTTCCAATAGCGCTGCAGGATCTTAAATGTCTGCCTGAACAGGCAGACAGGATCTTGGCCATCCAAAGGACAGCGACACTTCCCCAGCGCTGCACTAGAATATCAGCTTAGTCTAAACTGAGTTCCAAGTCTCGACCTGGGGCTTTGTATTGGATACTAATTAATAAATAAGCACCGATTGACGAGGACCAATGGAAGGAGATCAGAAGGGAGAGAAAGCAGGCAGCAGGGAGAACTGAGCAGAGGATGTTTGGTGTGACTTGGAGACCTAAAATAAGAGTGTTCTACACACTTTGTTGAGAACGTGACACTGAACACACAACTATTAACTCAGATATGAGAGTGCTACCAACTGAGCCGGGCTGACACTTCCTCACTCCCTGAGAACTCAAGTTTGCTCCTGATTGTTCAATGTCAGATGCACTGGGCTGCACTGCTCTGAGCTATTGCTGTGTGGCCGCTTTCTCCTCGAGTGAGGGGTGACCACCTTGTGGAATAGAGCATTTAGGAGCTCCTCCCTTCTCTAATGGAGCAGAGCAATTGCAATCTTCTCTCAGGCTCTGGTTCTCACAAATGTCCAACCTGAGACACTTGGTGTTCTGGCCACTGGCTGCCTGTGCTGACCTGCCATTGGTGCTTAATTTACACACTATTGCCACCCCTTATGTTGCTAATCCCCACTGTCACAGAGCACGTGATTTGTGTTTACCAAAAAAAATAAACTGCAGAAAAGGGATTACAGAATAACAGCGTAAATAGTTGATTAAATATACTTAGTCCTTTGTAGTTGGTTAATTGCATGATAAAAGTAGAAAAATAAAATGATAAAAATACTCTGCCTTTTTTATTTATTTTCTCCTGACGTCACACAAGCCTTTTTTCTCGCACAGTATCTGTCCACACTGCTCCACTTCAACTTTGTCTCCCACAAAACAGTCACTACACTACACCACAGGACTGCTGATCTGAGGACTGTGATCCATTCCAATGCAGGTCAGGCTTGTGACATACAAGCCCTGTGTACAGCTGTCCTGCTTTATGGATCCTTTATAGATCTGAGCTCCCGGGGACCCAGGGAGAGGCTTCCACTGACCCATCTGCGAAGTCCAGGCCAAGCAGTGAGGTGGGTTTGTGACAAACACGGAAAGTGGCTATAGGGAGGGAAGGCTCCAGCTACACTGACCTGTCACTGAGCCTCTGGAGGTGGAGTTGGCTTCACAGTGGCCCCTCTATTTTCCAATGGATTAAGCAGCTGGTGCTGAGGCAGCCTGGTACATGGCACTGGACTTGGACCTCGAGAACATTAAGGCGACCGGCACATACTGTAAAGGTCCTCCCACCACCCTGAAGGCAGATGCCCGTCAGATAGCTGATGAGGAAACTCTGAGGCTTGGGCCACAGCTGCTGGAGGGTGTTACTTGGATCCCAGTTTGTGACATACGTTCGTACATCCAGCACCTGGAATCCATCTTGATTGGCTGCAGAGAGACCAGCAGCTGCTGCTTAAACTCCACACCTCCAACAGATGGCACTATTGCTCAATGGGAAGCCTGAGCTGCGGACTGGAAGATGGTGGCAATGCTCTCATGCATTTCTACAGGAACCGGGAGGCATCAGAGAACAGGATGAGAGCCGAGCAACCTGCCCTGTGCCGAGGCTGCAAGTGGTAAGTGGCCAGAGCCAAGGCCGTGGGTGAACAAACAGTCAGTGACCGGTGAGAGGAGGGGGCCAAGGATGGAGCCCTGGGGTACACCACAGGTGACCAGGCAGGTGTAGGAGGAGAAACCATTTGAACAGACAAAGCGTCAAACTCAGCAGAGAAGTCCAGGAGGACACAGAGATAGGACGTCATTTGTGACATTGACAAGCGCCATCTTGTCAAGGTCACTGCGAGCAGCCGAGTGAGAGGCCAAGGCAGTAGCTGGCGAGAGGCCAAGGGCTCAGTGTCTCCAGGTGAGGAGGTTCCAGGTGAGGAGGTTCCAGGTGTGGCAAAGCCATTTCAAAATTTCCCACCTGTACCACGTGTTTATTTCACAGTAAGAATATATTCACAGCAGATTGAAACAGTAAACAATGGCAAGAAGATCAATGCATATTGTTCCCCACAAAAAGAGAATTCTGTCCGGCACTCCTGATAATTTAAACACAATTTATACTTAACATATTTGTGAATTGATGTGGTGATCGTATCCCCATGGAGTGTGTTCAGGCACAATGTTTGGTGATTGTGTGGTTGGAAGACCAATAGATTTCATCTGAGGAGTGACACATACATCTATTGAGAAAGCTGACTCTAGCGCCACACCCCGAGTGACGCATCCCAGAGGGGGAGTGGGACACACATCGACTGTCAATGTGCCAATAGCCAACACATTCACTGTCTATCCGGGACCGCGGTTTAACGTTGTTAAACACAAAATACCTTCAACAGAGAGCAAAAGGGTTGAAAAGAACACGTTTCTGGCTCAGCTTAATGGCAATTCTGAATTTGTTTCAACTACTTCAGGAATAATAAAATATTTAAAGCTGAAATCAGTATCAGAGCGGCAGTGCCGGAGGGGAACTGTCCAGAGCAGCAGTGACACGTGGCCACCACAGGGCAGCACCGACCACGAGGGCTCTCATCACAGCGTCAAAACATCGTCCCACTGACCACCACACAACGCACTCCGGGACCCTCCCCCTCACTCCGGGACCCTCCCCCTCACTCCGGGACCCTCCCCCTCACTCCGGGACCCTCCCCCTCACTCCGGGACCCTCCCCCTCACTCCGGGACCCTCCCCTCACTCCGGGACCCTCCCCTCACTCCGGGACCCTCCCCCTCACTCCGGACTCTACCCCTCACTCCGGGACCCTCCCCCTCACTCCGGGACCCTCCCCCTCACTCCGGGACTCTACCCCTCACTCCGGGACCCTCCCCCTCACTCCGGTACCCTCCCCCTCACTCCGGGACTCTACCCCTCACTCCGGGACCCTACCCCTCACTCCGGGACTCTACCCCTCACTCCGGGACCCTCCCCCTCACTCCGGGACCCTCCCCCTCACTCCGGGACCCTCCCCCTCACTCCGGGACTCTACCCCTCACTCCGGGACCCTCCCCCTCACTCCGGGACTCTACCCCTCACTCCGGGACCCTCCCCCTCACTCCGGGACCCTCCCCCTCACTCCGGGACCCTCCCCCTCACTCCGGGACCCTCCCCCTCACTCCGGGACCCTCCCCCTCACTCCGGGACTCTACCCCTCACTCCGGGACTCTACCCCTCACTCCGGGACTCTACCCTCACTCCGGGACCCTCCCCCTCACTCCGGGACTCTACCCCTCACTCCGGGACCTTCCCCCTCACTCCGGGACTCTACCCCTCACTCCGGGACGCTCCCCCTCACTCCGGGACTCTACCCCTCACTCCGGGACCCTCCCCCTCACTCCGGGACTCTAGCCCTCACTCCGGGACCCTCCCCCTCACTCCGGGACTCTAGCCCTCACTCCGGGACCCTCCCCCTCACTCCGGGACTCTACCCCTCACTCCGGGACCTTCCCCCTCACTCCGGGACCCTACCCCTCACTCCGGGACCCTCCCCCTCACTCCGGGACTCTACCCCTCACTCCGGGACCCTCCCCCTCACTCCGGGACTCTACCCCTCACTCCGGGACCCTACCCCTCACTCCGGGACTCTACCCCTCACTCCGGGACCCTCCCCCTCACTCCGGGACTCTACCCCTCACTCCGGGACCCTCCCCCTCACTCTGGGACTCTACCCCTCACTCCGGGACCCTCCCCCTCACTCCGGGACCCTCCCCCTCACTCCGGGACCCTCCCCCTCACTCCGGGACTCTACCCCTCACTCCGGGACCCTCCCCCTCACTCCGGGACCCTCCCCCTCACTCCGGGACCCTCCCCCTCACTCCGGGACCCTCCCCCTCACTCCGGGACCCTCCCCCTCACTCCGGGACCCTCCCCCTCACTCCGGGACTCTACCCCTCCACTCCGGGACCTCCC